CCTAAAGGTTTTAGGCTCTGGGTGAGAGAGGAAATGCCTATATAAGTTTTAATGCGGGTATATGTGTGTGCGCTTGCACGTAAGTGTGAGTGTGTGTGTGTGTTTGTTTTTAGAGGAAATGTCCAGACCCAAGGAAAAGACATTGGCTGGAATCTTTCCATTCCTGCAATAGTTTTCCCTCCAACACTTACTGTACTGTAATTCTATCTGTTCCTCTGCTCCCCTCTTCACTTGCTCGCCCCTGTGTGCACATATGTGTGTTTGCGTGCGTGTGTGTGTTTGCGTACGTGTGTGTGCGCGTGTACATCAGCAGTATTAGGCAGACATGTCTGGAACTAATAGATTCCACCCTGCTGAAGAATCTTATTAGGAAATACTACCTGCAACCTGAGGCTTCAGTCTACCTACTCATTCAATTGCCTAAAAGTCACGTCCCCCCCGCACGCACACACACACTCACACACACACACACACACACACACACACACACACACACACAGAAACCCACACACTCTTATACACACAGTTTTGCCCCCCTTCAACCTGCAAACCCCTGGCCCGGTCTCTCTCTCCTCTCTTTTCCTGCTTGGTTTCAGGTCTGGAGGGTTATATTGGTGAACTCCACAGCTGCCTGTTTTTCTTCAGGCCCTTTCATTTGGAGAAACACACACCTCAGTACAACCCCCCATCCTGCTGCACTCCATCTTACACACACACACACACACGCTTCCTGTAGTTGTTTTAGTACGACCCTCCCTCCCGTGTGCTCCCCATTGGCAGTGAACTGGTCCGACTGACTTCCCGTCTCTCTGTCCTGTCTTCCTGTGTGTACCAGGATGAATGGACATATTATTCACACTGACGCAGTGGCCTCCCTCTTACTCACCCTTTACACTACTTTGTGTTTCTTTCCCCCTTTCTTTCTGCTTCTTTCATTCTTCTGAGGACAATAGTATGAGCTCACAGTGGTACAACTCAAAACCATTACCACCCCCTTTCTGCTCCCCCTCCTCTTTTCCACCGCTCTGTAGTCTGTACTGCAGTATCAGCCCCCGGAGCAACAAAAGACCAGGCCTTACTGCATAAACACGACGCGTGTGCGTGCTCACATGCAACGCACACACAAAAACACTAATAGACCAAGAAGAATGGCTAATTTTGTACCTTTGTGATAGCTACATCTCCTAGTTGGTTGTTGTACATTTCTTAGAATTAGTTGAGTGTATGTTCCTGTGCTCCTGCTGTGATTTCAGATTACCTGGCACAGGTTGTAGGAGCTTAGACCCAGTGTTGGCAGAGAGACTTGTGTTTGCCCTGTTAGGTAGTTTTTGCTGAGTGTGGGCTCACTTTTTTTTTTTTTTTTTTACTTCAATATGAAGTCCTGCACCTCTATGGAAACAGGAAAACCGTGGCTAGAAGTAGAGAAATAAATCAATTAAAAAAAAAAAAAAAATCAAAATATCAACTAATTAGATTATTGCCTTTACAAAAAGAAAGTACCTGGGCTCAGCATGCACATGTGTCACCAGTAGGGGAAAAAAATATGAATCTACATACTATAGATTTTTTTACAACTTTTGGTAAACTTTTAATTGGGACTTTGATGAAGTATTAAGATTTTAGGCTTAGATTTAATTTTATTTTTTACGTCTGTTTCCCAACAGAATGGTGCAACCAAATGATTAGTCCAAGGACCATCCAAAAGTAGAACATTCAAGGGTTCTTTTTAGCTTTTACAGTTTCTTACTTTGATAAATTGTCTTTTTTTGGCAGTTTTTTCTAAAAAAAAAAAAAAAAAGGTAACATCCTTTTCAAACCCATCGGTGGCTTTTGGGATACAGAGGGTTAAAGAATAATCCTGCTTGGTTTCTATTCATTATAATAACATATATTCACCAATTGCCAAGATCTGGTTACACTGCATCGTGACTGCAATGTCAAACAGGTTTTAAAAATAAAAAAAAAATAAATGAAACGCTCAAGGTTGTAAGCTAGACAAAAGCTTAACTAAAATATGATCAAACCCACTTCACTTCCTCTATAGATGAGCTGAATTCAAAGCTGTAGTAAAAGCAGCAGTACTTGTTGCAGATGTAAATCAAACACAGCACCATTATCTGCTGAATTAAATCCAAATTACCCCTGAATCTGAAAGGTAATTCCATTAAGCAGATTGTTTTGTCAGTTTTCTCGTCAACATAATCATTAACTCCTGCCCGACACCAGCAGTGCGCATAACAGAATTTCGAACCGAGTGATTTGATGTTTCACACAAAAATGCATCTTAAGGTCAGCAGTTAACTTACATCACACCTTTTACATTATTGAGCTTCAGCTGTGAGTCACATCACATTGTTGATGGCCTTTCAGAGTGTACATACCCAAATATATATACATATACTGTCATAATGCATGTTGTTCATAGATACCTAAAATAAGACTATGGTTGCAATAAACCTGAGTTGTCATTTATATCAAGATAGTTGTCAAGTCTGTGGTAATCTGTTGTTCCTCTTTTGTCTGTGCACTCTGTCACACTCCCTCTCCAGCCAGTTCAAGCCTTGTCTCGAACACTCATCGCATGCATTTGTAAACAGCTGTCATGTATAAAGGTGTGTGTTCGTGTGTGTGTGTGTGTGTGTGTGTGTGCGTGCGTGAGAGAGAGAGCAGGGATGTGTGTGTGCACAACTCTACCATAGTGATATGGTAATAGAGGAGGACAGAACTGGGGTGGGGCTTCCAAGAGCAAGCTGGATAGCTACTGTCAAAACAGCTCAGAGTGACAGCTTGGACTCAGAGTGTCACATTGCTGCATGTGTGCGTGTGTGCTGTGCCCATAGCCCTGGGTGTTTTCAGGTATAATGAGTCCTCCCAGCAGTATGTGTGGCTTCTGAATCTAGGCCAGAATAGAAGAGCATCCAGGGCAACCATCACTTCTTTCAGCTACCAACAAAACAGCCTAAAGCTTGGTAGTGAATTTGCCGCAAAATTAGTTCTAGCTACAAAAGGTAATGTCGGGAATCTATTTTTAGCCTTCGCATTGTGCTTGCCAAAATTTTTTGTGACAGGTTGTGTAGCCTTTTTGCAGCATATTTCTTTCCTTCTCTGGTTTTATTTCCTTGTGAGCATCCATCCACGCATTTATATGCAGCAACATGTCTCAGTCTGGTTTGATTTGAGGCAACCCAGAGCGGCTGCCTTAAAGTCTCAGCCGGCTGCAAAATTAACAGCAGGAATCGACTGTGGTGGTTACGCTGTCTCCATCCATCATCTCTCGGCTTTTGTCTTCCTTTCTCAGGGTCAGAATAAGCAAAGTAATCAATAATGGATGGTTAGAAGGGATAGGTGAAGAGTTTGAGAAAGAAAAAAGTCGTTTGAACTCTTCAGATTTCAGCTATTTCATTCTACTTTGTGAACTCGCTGTTCTTCTACACCGAGCGGCAGACGTATGAATTTATTGATGTCACTTATTCACATTATACCGCCCCCTCACTTTCACCGAGTGCCAAAACAAACCAACAGGTGGCCGCTGTGCGTGGATAGAGTTGCAGTAACAGAAGGAAAATAAAAGCAGATCTCGCAAAAGAAAAGGCTATCAAAATCAACAGTGGTGTCACTATAGTTTCTATGGGCAGACAAATGAAATGGAGAGGAAATAATAATCCCGCAGAGAAAATTAGCTGCTTTGATGTTAGCAGCCATCTCCTTTTGCTGAATTGCTCCTGGTGGTGGTGGTGGTGGTGGTGTGCTGGAACTCCTGGTGAGCAGAGTGAAGAGCGTATGGACGAGGCTCCTGCAGACTGAGCCAGACAGCCCTCAGCACTACAGACAGAGGAGGCGGAGGAGAGGGAGGGAGGGGAAATGGAGAGGAGAGCATCAGTAAAGTAGAATCCCAGAGACCGATTACAAGACCTGCTCTCATCTGCCTGGAAAATGTGACTGGGCTGTCTGGAGGGGGGTGGAGGCGTCACATTCCAGTTCACATCCCACTTCTTACTTGCTTCAGATGATGACCATTACAGAGGGACCAAAGTGAAGGGAAGACCTGCATCAATCTTTTATGACCGTGTCTCTTCTCTTTGCTGTACCAAGCTCCCAGTTCCACAGCCAACCCCCGTCTCTTGGTGATAGCAGTTGCTATATATGCAGAAAAATCAAAAATCTTTTTTTTTTTTTAAAGAAAATTCAGTTTAGCTGCCAGGACCAATGGTGTTTAGTGTGGACCGCTCAAAGTTAGCTGTGTCACACAGCCATACATTTTGTAAATGGAGCGTGCTGTCAAACTCACTCTTCATCCTAATGTGAATGTTAGGGGCCTGAGAGGGGTTTCGGGGCTCAGGGCCTGGCTTTTCTATTAAATTAATTTTCCTCCCATTAAACCTGCTTTCTAACCATTGGAATTACGTGGGACCGCTGTTGCTTTTTTCTCCACATATCCTCCACACCTCAAGCTGTCTTCATGCCGATTACCGTATGGTTTGTGTCGGCTTCCTCCTTGTAGACGGGAGATCTTGTTTTCAGTTGAGGTGTTGTACATTTGTTGCCTGTTGTTGTCTTGGATTGGCTAATTACAAGGCCACTATCTCGAGGTTTTGTGTCACGGCCTTAAGGGGCGGGCACTGACTCACTTGCCATTATTGACAACAGTGTGCAATAGGATAATTACACACAAACACGCACATGTACAGACCACGAGACAACAGCACATGTTGTCAAAGCAAATATTCACACCAGGTCATTAGCGCACAAACAGACTATGTGCATGCATTTGTTTGTGCTGTGCTGCCATAATGCCACAAAACTCCTCCATTCTGCCCTTTTAATCAGCAAAGAATGACTGTGAGCGGACACAGCCGCAGGCTAGCGGCACAATGTTTAGGTCTGTGTTTATGAGTGAGAGACAGAGAAGTGGGAGGAGCAGGGTGGCCACAGACACATTTAGATATCCCACTTCTCTTTGTGGTAATGAGAAACTGCACTCTCAGCTGTTAAACACAAAGGCCGCATCAACAGTCGCTGTCGGCTGGACAGGCGGCTGACTCTTGTCTGCCTTTGAGAGTGCGTGTGTCTGAATGAGTTGTGTGAATGTGAGTGAAGGGAGTCCATACTGCCCTGAAACCAGGATGGATTCCAAAAACGTCCGCTTCCTCTACAGCCAGCGCTGTAAAGGTAGGAGAGCTGCTTTGAACCAGTCATGATGCAGTTGACAGTTGGCAAAGTATGTGTGTTGTTTCTTAATTCTTGAAAAGGATGCATATGCAGCCTACTCAGCACTGGCAGGCAGCTATGAGAGCATAGCATTAATCTGTCAGCTGTCAGCACTGATCCAGCTTATCACCCTTGTGTGTGCATGTGCGCGTCCTTGAATGTGTATGTGTGCACATGTTGCTGCAAACGCTTTGTGCGTCCCGGTCTATGGCTGCAGCAGACAGGATTCTCCAGAGGACTTTTTTGTAGCCAGTGATTGAATATGGCTACTGAGTGTGTCTGCACTGAGTGCACTCTATTAATTTGAGGCCAGACTGGAGATCAGCGTGGAGGAGGGAGAGGGGAAGGAGGCAGGAGGAAAATGAAAAGTGATAAGCTGGGATAAATGACTGCCTCTGGAGATCTGTGTTTGGATGATGATATCTGATTGCACATACACATATGCGTATAAATATGATGATGTGCGCACACGCTCAGCAGTCTGTGCTTTACGAACCGGTGGGAGGGTAATGGATTTCAGCCAAGACTTTAGGGCTCTGCCAGGTGTTCCACTGGATCATCCAGTCATCCACACCAGCAGTAAAGAGAAAAGACATTACACTTTTAACGTCTTACACATTGTCATGGCACGTATCTTAATAATAGTGCTACATAGCCAAAGGAAGTGTGTGCAGCTTATTTCCTGGATATATGGATAATTGGTTGTTGTTCATATTATTAGAGAAAAGAAGCCTTTTGATTTGAGGAATGCAATGAAACAAAACAAACTTTCTGTTCAGGCTATCCTTTGCTGCTTCAGTTTGTTATATACACCTGTTTTGTAGCTAACATGATAAAGTGAAAAAAGAAGTTAAACTCATCCCTGTCCCTCTTCCTTCCACCCCTGGCAGAGATCCGTGCCCAGCTGGTCGAGCAGCTCAAGTGTCTGGACCAGCAATGTGAGCTGAGGGTGCAGCTGCTTCAGGACCTGCAGGACTTCTTCAGAAAGAAGGCCGAAATCGAGATGGACTACAGCCGCAACCTGGAGAAGCTGGCTGAAAGGTTTCTTACAAAGACGCGCAGCACCAAGGATCATCTACTCAAGTAAGAGACAGTCACACTGTCACACTTGGACACTGAGCTGCAACTCAGGTTTTGGTTTGATTTCACCTAATTATCAGAATATTTTTCTTAAATTTGTCTTGCATTTACAAGACATACGCTATTTCACATAACTAACAAGAGCACAACATGTTGCGTATGTGCAGTTTCAGGCATCATGCACAGCTAATATCCTTCCCTTTTAAACTTTCCAAGTCACATAAAAATCACCCAGTTTCCTTATTTAGCTTTTGAACCAGCATAGTGTTTCAGAAACTGACGACTTCCTTCCTGAGAATAGAGAAGTAGAGAGACAGGCAAGAAAATCAAACGGAAGAATGGCTGATAGGGACTGCAACTGAGGTCATGTTAGTGCGCAAGTCTGTAAAATAATGACTTGCATCATTCACTTCCACCCAGTTTGATCCGTCAGAAAACCAAGTGATGTATAGCCGAGACATTATATTTTGATGCTTTTTCTATTATCTGTGAGATCCTTTGCGCTTGTGTGTGTGTGTGTGTGTGTGTCTGTTTGTGTGTCTGCGTGCGTGTGTGTGTGTGTGTGTGAGAGAGAGAGAGAGACAGAAGAACTACAACTTCTGCCAGAAATGGCCAGGTGGTGATTTTGTGCTCTGACTATTTTGTAGTGTCTTGCCGTGAGTGGAACTTTGCCCAAACAGGGATTCTCTCTCACCAAAGATGGCCTCTCTTTCTCTTTCTCTCTGTCTCTGTCTTGTCTGTCTGTATTTCTCTCTCACTCCATCATTAACACATACAATGCATACAAATTCACACTGGAGTTAATCAGCTTTAACAGCTTAATGTTTTTGTATAAATTATCTGGCAGTTTTTTGTTTTTTTTTTTTTTGGAGAGAGAACGGTTTGTCTCCCTGTGGGGAAAGATTCATTGGACTGTTAGCTAATCATCAACCACACACACACACACACACACACACACACACACACATTCGACAGAGCTACTGATCACTGCTGGAGGCAGCGGGCACTTTCCAATTAGATAATTGTGCCTCTTTGCATCTAACTCGTCCGCCTTTTAGCCTGTGACTTGGAAATTGACTAAGCAGCGAGTATGTTTCAATACCCTAAACGCTTCACAGAGGAACAAGAGTACTTAGAGAATCAAGAAAACACGGATTTATGCAATGAAGACTTGGTCTGCCTTTTGGCAAGAACCCTTCAAGTGGAAATGCATATAATGATTGATCACTGCTGCTGATTTGAAAGGTCTGAAGGCTTCTGTGATCGTTACTGCCGTATCATTTTTACATCATTAAACAGTCCATGGAGACGTGAGTAGCAGCGCGAAAGGCCAGTTCATGGTTTCTGCATCTGCGTCAGCTGACCGATTCAGACCTTGGATGTGGACAGCAGATGTGCACGCAGTTAGATCTGCACTAAAAGGATGCACATCAATTTGCTACACTGACAGATCGCATTGCCTTGAACATCAAACATAGAAAAAGCACACATGACTCCGGTGGATGCTTCTGAAACGCAGGCTGTGACTTTGCACTTTTTACAGGATACGGCAGCAAAGTATAGAAGCTGGCTATCAGAGTTTGTTGCCTTCCTGTCCCAAGCACAGTGGGAGGACACAGCACAGGATTTCTGCAGGATTTGGAACTTCCCGCTGTGTTTGGGCGCCATCGATGGAATTCATGTATAAATCAAAGCACTACCCAAGTCTGGCAGCAACTGTTTCAAATAAAGCTCTTATAATGATGGATTACAAAGGTGTGGATAGCGGTAATCACCTCACACAACCTCTCCTCAAAACAAGCATTCCTTTTATTTTCCTGGCACATGTGCAGTGGGCGTACTGTTTCAAACCCACTTTTATTTGTTTTTTAAGATTTTGTTTCTGGAGGTATCCTTGTATTAACAGACAAATTTCAGCATTTTATTTGGACAAAATCATATTTTCGTCTCATGGTTCCTATTGCGTTGCAGTAATTGAGGCTATTTTGCAGATAAATAGGACAGTGATTGTTAGTTACTCAGATGATTGTCAGATGATGTGAATTCATCCACTGATCAGCAACAAATTCAGAATTTAACTAGAAGTGAGCGAAATCCTTTCAAAGGCCAAAGCCTGATCTGGCAATTTTAAATAAAGTGATCTAGATCAGCACCAAAATTGATTCGGTTCATGCTTCTCCCAGCTGTTCGTCAAGTTTCATGAAATTCGGTCAAGCAGTATAATGTATAGTCCAAGACAAACAGTGAAATGGCACTGAGAATGCACAGACCTCTATATTGGCTTGACGAAGGAATAATTGTGCAGCAGCATCTTTAATCCCAGAATACCAATGTAACATTTTGTTATTGTAGTAGAGTTTGATCTACTTTATGTTTGTAAAATTAATTGCTTAGACAAATAAGGAATATGTTTTTAAGCAAATATTTGGAACATTTTTCCTTTGGTTGCCAGCTTTGACGTGTATTTAATTGGACAGGTGTTTCGGTTGCTCATGACAACAGAGGAAGCATTATTTCAAACTTTTTTGACAGACTGGATCTTTCAAAATTACCTAAACTATTGAGCAGCACAGGGTTTTTTTTTTCTTTCTCTTCTGCTTGTCTTCTTTCTCTATTTGACTTCCTGTTAACTACGACCTCCTCAACAGCCTCCTTCCTCTTTTTCCCTGCACTGTTGTTGTTCTCTTTTCTTATGCGTCATGCACCCTTCCAGAAATATTAATTCCTCTGCTGGGGGCTAACCCATATTCATGCTCTCTCACGCACAGGCACAGACTAAAAGGGATCAATAGGTCCTCTAAACGAAACCCAATTCCAAACGCAAGGACATACCCCCCAACAGACACAAATTCACACACACACACACACCCTCCAGCTCAGATCAATACTGAGACAGTTGCAGAGTGTGTGTTTCCCTGTGTTGCATATTGGGGGAGGGAATGAAAGCAGAGGAAAAGGGAGGGCAACGGACGGAGGGTGAAATATGTAGTCGGGCAGGTCTGCTACTGCAGCTGCTGCAGCAGGTTTGTTCACATCATGATCTATCAAGATGTCAAAAGGCTTTAAAAATGATAATTCTCTGACTTAAAAGTGTTCAATCTTTATCTTTCATCTGTTTTTGCGCTCATCTCCTGCTTTCTTTTTGCTTTACCCTTCTTAGAACATCTGTGTGTTCAGCAGTCTCCCTGCATCTGCTGCTGCTCAGTCTGGGTGCCACGCTGGAATTTCAGCTATTTTCCGGCTATGCGTGTGTAATGTTGTGTGCATCTGAATGTAGGTGTGTGTGTGTGTGTGTCTGTGTGTGTGTGTGTGTGTTGGGGGTGCCTGTGGCTGTGTCTCTGTACAGCCAGGCGTTGATGGTGCTCCAAGCAATGCGGGGTGTGAGGGTTGTGAGTGTGTTGATCCCGTGGAGACCCCTGGTATTCGTGCTATTTGGCAGAGTGCATACAGCAGTGGTTGAGGGGGTTACATGGTTTAACTGTATTGTGTGTGTCCGTATGTTTGTGCCCCAAGGCTGACAGGCTGATTGGTCACATGGAAAAGCCCTCACAAGTTGCACACTCAATCAAAGTCTATCCTTATGCTAAATATTCGGCTAGTTTCTCTGTAAATAAGCTGCAGCCTCTTGCACAACACAAAGCTACATTTTACTTCGTTGCGGTTTTTGGGATGTGATCATATGATTGTATGACAGCTCATGGAGTAAAAAAATGCCGTTTAGCATCTGTTGAGGCTCTGCTCATTTAAGGCTGTTGAGTATGGGTGTGTGTGTGTGTGTGTGTGTGTTTATGTTTCCATATCTCCGCACTATCTCCAAAGTGTTCCTTTTCAACTAAACTGCTTTCTCAGTTACATTTTGAAAGAATCATATTATCTCCCAGTAAGGTATGACAGTAAGAAACGTTTCCACTTTCAAAGAGCTACAGAGTCGGCGGTCGAGGTTGTAGAGGTGGTTGTGGTTAAGTTAAGATGCTAGGACTTTCAGCCTGAACACTGGGTGAAAGTCCCAGTACCATTATATTTAGACTTGTGTTTTGTTTCACTTGCTGTTTCCTTTCATTTTCACTTGCTGTTTGGTTAGGTTTAGGCACCAAAACTAAGCTATTAGATTTATAAAAATATAAAGTTTGGGGTTTAAATTGACCCTTTTACAATGCTAACTACATGTTAGAAGCTCGGTTAGGTGTTGGCGCCAAAACTCTTTGGTTAGGTTAAGAGAGTATCATGGTTTGGGTTAAAATACTACCCTGTCACAACATGTTTGAAGCTTCTCCTCCCTTTTCTGGGTTACCAGCGTGACAAGTCACATCCATGATCATTTCCAATATATATAGTACGTACTTGGTTGTTTCATGATCCATTCTGTTGTAGAGATTTTTGAAAAAGCAAAAACGTATCCCTCTGTGATAAAAAGTAAAAAAATAATAGATGCTGCATTGTATTTGTTTTATTATGTATAATATGGTAGCAATGAAAAACAAGGCTACAGTTGGAAAGCAATACAATGAACGACAAAGATGTCTGTCTAAATCCTCAGTCATTAGGGTCATATAATTAGATATTTGATACGATCAAAACAAATGCTTTGTCACATATGATTGTAATTATTTGGAGAAACGGCTCCTATGTCTAAGATGACATATCAAGAATCTCCTCTTGAATTGAGTGCAGTTTTCAGATTCATAAGAACCTGGGATTCCTAAAAAAAAAAAAAATCATCTTTTTTTTTTTTGGTCAGGTGTCATGATAGCTCAACTGGTTGAGCTGGCGTCCCGTGTTCAGGGGCTATTGTCCCTGATGCATAGGTCATGGGTTCGAGTCCTGCTCATGGCCCTTTCCTGCTGGTCCTTCCCTCATTCTTCTCTCCCACTTTCCTGTCTCTCTCTCTCTCTACTTTTTTATCGAATAAAGGCAAAAAGTCAAAAGCAAAAAACGTTTCAAAAAGACCCTCTTTTTGATTCAGCTTTTTGATTTTGTTTTATTTTTTTAATGTAAATTTGAAAACTACTCTGCTCCTGTATGATCACTGGTTTCACTTGCGTCACCATGCTTGTTTACAGAATTGTCGACCAGAGTATTTACAATTTCTGTAAAGACTTTATTATGGCTGGGGACAAAATAATGGAAATAATTCCATCCAGAGAAGTCTGTGTAATAGTATGGACAGCATCTCCACCATGTGACCTTTTGGGGAACCAGTGACATTTCAGTACTGGCCTTGTGATGGCTCAGGGTCAGAGAGCGTTAGGTGATATTTCACCCAGTGCTGCGGTGGCGGTTCATCACTGGTGGACTCAGGGCAACATGTCACATGGAGGCAGAGACGCTGAACGGCAGAGGAACTGCAGCCCTGTTTTTTTGTGTTGTGCAACCAGTGAAGGCAGACACACCGGAAAACAAATGGACAGCAGAGAGAAGTTGGAAGAGAAACTGTCACACATACGCACATATGTCTACATGAACAGCGCTTTCAGCTTAGAGAGTTTCTGTATTTGAGCTAACAGGTGTGTAGGAGGATTTTTTTTTTCCATTTTTGTTTTCAACATTGTTATTAATATCCTCAATTCGTTAGTCATTTGACCATCTGACCAGTGACAGCCAGTACCAGCTTATCACATCAATGACTCATCCCCCCACACACACTTACACCTCACACACTCACACCCCTCCCCATGGACACCACCCCCACTCTATACCCCTCAGTAAAGTCAAAGACTTTCTCTGTCCGTCCGACTTTGTGTATGCTTTGGTCACTGCTCTACTTTCTGTGACCCCCATCTGTGTGTGTGTGTGTGTGTGTGTGTGTGTGATGTAAATGCCTTGCAGCTCTTTGCTCTCTCTATCCAGTTAAAGCTGCTCTTAACGACACAAAGGCCTTCTTTCATCCACTTACACTCACTCATAATCCATTTTACCCACTAGATCATCCATGGATCATCCATAACTCATACTGCATACACACACACACACACTCATATAGTCGCACATACTGTGTGCACACCCCATGAAAGCGTTTGTGTTGTCATGTAAGCAGCGCATTAACAGCCTTGCTTTTGTGTAATGGCTTTATGGGCACTTGAAACAAAGACAATGCAACAGTATTGAACTGTTACACTGTTAGTGAAATGATTACAGCCTTCCAAGCTCCCTCATTTTTCAGTCCTTTTCTCCTCTCTCATTTCTTTCGGCAACAGCTGTGCTTGTGGGGGAGCCTACTTCTTCCTGCTGGGTTTTGTACCCTGGCTGAATCCCCTGTTTGGGCTGGCTTACCGACCCAATGTGTGTGTGTGTGTGTGTGTGTGTGTGTGTGTGTGCGTGTGTGTGTGTGTGTACAAGAGAAGGTAGCTGTTTTATGCTTGAATCCACCTGGGAATTCTCTCTCTATATTGCCATGTCTATATTAAGAGTTTGCACAGTAGGCTTGTCTTTACAATTTACATGAAGTAAACCTGCGTGGTACTATGAGCAAAACAAAAGCTGAATTTAGAAGATGAAAGAGACTTAATGCAAGTCTTTTATCTAAAAATATGCTCGGAGGCCCTCAAATACATCTAAAGACTCTCTCTGTGTCTTTGTGTGTTTGTGTAGGAAGGAGCAGAGCATTTTATCGCCGGTGAACTGCTGGAACCTGTTGCTGCTTCAGGTGAAGAGGGAGAGCCGCGACCACGCCACTCTGTCTGACCTCTACCTCAACAACATCATTCCCCGGTTTGCACAGATCAGCGAGGACTCAGGACGCCTCTTCAAGAAGGTCTGAAAACACTGAAACACACGGACACACCAGAGCTTTATTCAGATTGTTTTTTTCCGATTGTTTCATTCTCTATTGAGGTTTCCGTGATTAGTGTTAAAGCTACCAACTGTAAGCCTTTTGTTCTCACGTGTGAAGAGGTGTTTTGAAAAGGTGCAGCTGGTAGGTAGAGGCTCCTCCTCCTCGGCTTCAAACAATGAAGGAGCAAGAGAATTCCGAATCTGTAGCCTGATATACTAAATCCATGTCATATTTTTGCTACGTCTGTCCGTCTCCTCAGCATCTGTTTTCTGTCTCGGCTTATTTATTGACTGACAGCAAGTCAGCTGAACCTCAAGCCAGGAGAGTTTATACCGTCTGTGTTTGATACAGAAGCCTTATTCTTGTCTCCTCTGATCTTTGCCTTTCTAGTTTGAGAGATAAAAGAGACAAGAAAGAGGAAAACAGAAAAACAGAGAACCAAAGGAATAGAGAGGAGGGGGCTTTACATGACAGAGCAGCTTTCCTCAGTTGTTCATTTCCAGGATGGACATATTAGACCAAATACACATACAGTGGGAGGCAAATTTGCAAAGATAATGCATTTATTAAAACCTTTACCGCTTCACCTTTAGCTTTACATGCACCTTTTTTTGTTTTATGGGAGTTTCACAGCATTTCTGCGACATGATGTAATTTTGACTTACAGTTTTCACTTCAAAGGGGGAATTCATAGAGCTTCGGTCTGGATTTTGTATTACAATTCCTCTTCAGGGTTAAGTTTAAGGTAAGGGTCAGAGTGAGGAGAGCTAAGGATGGGTGCAAGGAAAGAATGTAATCAGTGGAAAGCCCTCACAGGTATGGGAAGATAAGTGTGTGTGTAGACGGCAAAGTGAAGCCGTCTGTGTGTGGAATGTCATGGCTGCTGATTCCAACCTGATAGTTTGTCTTTGAACTACAGTCCGATCACAGGCGATGGGAACACACACACAAACCTCCACCCTCATTTCACTGCTCGTCTGATGCACCAGTACAAAAAAAAACTCCCACTCTCATTTGAGTCACGGACATCGATTTCCATTTTCATTTTTTCCAACACTGCCTATTTGTTTGGCAGGAGGGTTGCTTCCATTATGTCTGGGTCGTAAACAGGCTGCACACATACACATACACACACAGAATGCTCTGATGGCTAATTAAGTGGGTAATTAGTCCATTTATAACATTTGCAGTCATCTGCATGAATACCAGTCGTGCCAGGGGCCATGACACACAAAGCACACACATGCACCACTCGTGGAGATGCACACCGCAGCTCATATAAAGCAGACACATTCATCTCAGACACTTCGGTCCAGCATGGAAAGTGATGCAGAATGATGCTGTTAGCACAGTGTGGGGGGGTGTGAGAGATTTTATCAGTTACAGAGAGGAAGCACTAATGAACCAAGCTCTATTAATGAGTACACAATGTCAGCATGACCACAGACATCAGTGCTAATAATGCATGCTAGTTGCTAGTTAATGCTGCAGTCTTGCTGAGCCGGACGACACCACCACAGGGGAAAACAAGAAGTCCAGAGGTCAACACCCGCAGTTGACGGATCGGAAGGTTCAGCCATGGCTGATTGCTTTTTGATTGGCTGTGGTCTGGTTTTTGTCACCTAATATGAGCCTCTGACAGCACTTTAAAGAGCGAGGGCGGGACGACCTCAGTTATTCTGTTACCTCTTTGTTTGCTACCCTAAATCTCTTACCATGTCGCTCCGTCCCTCTGCTTTCCTTTACTCCCTCTTTCATGCCTTTTCTCCACCCTGCTTTCATAAGCCACCTCTCACCTTACCACCCTTAACTTTTTCCTACCAGTTCACCTACAAACCTTTCACCCACCCCAACCCCCTTCTCTTTCCAGGAGAAGACAGATGCTCAACATGCGCTGGCAAAATCTGCTTTTGCTTTCACTCTGCATTCCTCATCCTTTTTTGCTTTTTTTTCTTTTTTGGTTACTTTCTCTGCTTTTTTCCCTCTCCTCCCTTTAATTTTCCCCTTACTTGTCCCCCTCTTACCTGTCTAAGTCAGTTAAAAGTGTAAATCTATATGCATACAAATTTTAATGGCGTCAAAATTTAAAACAATTAAGGGGTGTTATTTTACTTATTATGTCAATGACTGGTAGCTCTACAAATTAGCCAATTTCTGATGGATCACTGTTTACTAAAGTCTCACTGACAAAGGAATTCATTCTTCAGTATGAACTCTAAGTGACTGATTGGTTTGTATAAAAACAGCTTTAAGCAATTGTTTAACATTAAATGAAGCTTCTCCACCTTCCTGTGTTGCTTGGGCTAATAAACGAAATGGCAAACCTTGTTGAATATTGTACCAAAGCCTTAAACACATCCCGTTCTAATCTCCTGGATTCAGTTGCACCTCTCACTAAAAAAACTAGATGTTTAAAGAGGTGTACACTCTGGTTTACTGAAGAAACGCATGTTCTTGCGCATGCCTGCAGGAGCTTCAAAAGCAAATGGAATAAATCAAAACTACAAGGTTTCAACCTCTCCTAGCATGAGTGTGTATTGAATTACAAACGTGTTCTGTCTGCTTCCAAACCAGCATATTTCTCCTTCTGAAGTAGGAGTAGCAAACACAATTGACTGTATTCACTCTAAAGCAGTTATGTTTTCACTGCTTGCCATTTACATTTTATTTTTAGATTTTTATCTGCAGAAAATAGATGCATTAAGAAAAAAATTCAAAAAAAGAATTCCTCATGTCCAGCTACCTCTGCAGAACAGATTGTCCAGTAGATCAAAAAACTGATTTGAGACCATCTCCTGAAATATTATCTTGTGTAGAGTTGAATCAGGACAAATCACTCACATTTTTGGGAACTGCATCACTTATAAGTGGCACCGTCTGCACTACTTTAAAGGCGACTAGTGGGGACCTTTACTTCAGAAACCACACCTTGACACTGGATCACTGTATAATTATTGGAGTACCTCAGGGCTCTGTTCTTGCCTCTTTCTTTCTGTTTTTTTTTTTTTTTTTATTGAATCAGAGGTCTGTTTGTCTGCTGAGGAAACTGAAACTTCTTGCTGTTATTTCTACCTTCTCTTCAGATCAGCTCATTAAATAAATCACCAAGACTGCCTCTTTTCACCTTTGCAGCATGATTAACATTCCGTCTTGCCTGTCGATTGCTGACCCTAATTCTCGACTTTGTTTCATTTCCACTCAATCATTGTAACATTTTGTTTTCAGGCCTGCCACGTGCTGGTAGAATTTTAACAAAAAATATCAGATTTGATCACATTAAATGCTTTTTAACTTCTTCTCAATGGATTCCTATCAGTGTCACATCAGACTTTAAGGTGCTTATGATGGCCTGCGTGTTTTTGAACAGGAATGCCTCTTCATAGTCTTCTGATCTCCTTAAATCTTATAATGCGTCTTCTGCTCTCTGCTCCCAGAGCTCAGGGCTACTGTCTGTCCCTAGATTTCTCTCGTGTCCCTATTTTCTTTTCACTGGAGCTTCTCTGAGCCGGGTGTTGATGCCTCATTCCAGATGTTTTTGATCAGGGTCTTAGTCTTCCGGGACATTCAGCTTCTTCTCGTGTCTGTCTCTCTCCCTTATGTACATGTTGTGCTCTCTCTTTATGTGTGTTTACTTCCTTTCTCCTACATATGAGAAAGTTTTGCGCGACTTCTGCCTCCCATGTGCGTGTGTGGCATGTACTCTTTCTTTGTACTGGAGAGGAGGTCACATGGCCGTATCTGTTTTGGCGGCAGCTGGAAGTTTCTCAACATCCTCCTGAATCTACACATCATATATATTTACAATCAGTCTATAAGTCAGACTGTAAATTTGCTGTATCGATTCTTTTCACACCACATCTGTTGCCTATTTGTCTGTCTCAAAAGAAGTCTATTGCACTTTGTGAAGGAGATTTCTTGATCTAATTGTTCAAATTAGTGATGTTGAGCTACTTAAATCAAACTGTCCTGACTCGGCTTTATGCCTCTCTTTGTATCAATATTAAAATCAAATTTGAGTAGTTTGGGAGAGTCCCAGCATGTTTATGCAAATGTTTGAGAAAAGCTATGAATACACGTGTATGTGTTCGCGTGTGTAGTGTTGCTGTGAAGTCATCAGCCACTAATGGCTCCTGGCAGTTTTATCTGGAGAATGATAGTGCTTGTATTTCTCTCACTTTTCACTCTCTGTCTCTTTTTTTTTGTTTGTTTTTAATCTTTTGCAGCTTCGTCATCTCTCTTTCTGTCTTTGGCTCTTTTGTCCTCTTGCCGTCTCCGCTATCATGTCGAGATCAGTATCCGCGGCTTCCTTTCCCATCCATCAAGTCCATCTCTGCCTTGTTCATTTATCTGGATTAAAGGCTTCTCAACTCTTGTTCGGCCGCATAATCTGGCCTTGATTAATGATGGGGCAGTTGGTTGAACGCACGGCTCAGTGGGTATAGATTTAATTGGCTGGCAGGGAGATGACCAGGTAGATGAACAGAAAGTAGAAGCTGCAAGTTATATTGTTAAGCTTCTGGTTAGAACTGCATATTCACATTATTCTGTGCTTTTTCTCTCTCTCTCTCTCTCTCTCTCTCTCTCTCTCTGTGTCTTCAGAGCAAAGAGGTCGGCGTGCAGCTGCAGGAGGACTTGATGAAAGTTCTTAATGAGCTTTACACGGTAAGGAAAACCCCTGCCCTTACACTCACAGTATTTTAATCCATAATTATGGGTTGTGATCTCTTGCAACTCATACAGCGTAATGGAGGAAGCCTTGCTCGTGTAGCTCGAGGGTTAGTGGTTCGTTCTGTGTCATAGGAAACTGAAACTGCTGTATAGTAGCCTTATTTCATAGTGTGTTTTAAAATCAATGCAGAAAGTCTTAGACAAATATGAGCTGACACAACAAAGTATAGACATTAAAAAAGATGACAAGGAGACAGCTGGTGAACCCCTAACTTTTTAATCTGGTATTGTTCACAGTTTGTCTTGTAATTGTTGAAAGATTTGCAATGACATTTGGTGCTCAACTTAATCGTCCCATCAGAGTCCTTTCAGTTAACAGCATCATCAGATATGATTTCCCCCCCCCCCTTGATTTATGACCAAATGCCTGCAAAACTAATGACATCAGCCTCTTCTGTACTTTGTGTTTAGTAAATGATACCACGCTTACAAAGCTAAATGGTGATCATGTTAAACGTTGTACCTGCTAAACCTCCCTGTCTGATGTTTTGGTCCTCTTACACTAGCATCATAGCGTCTAGTTCCACATGTCCCAGTGCTGCCAAAAGTACTGAGGCAATCACAGTGTGTTTCTCTGTCTGCGTGTGTGGGTTTTCTACTACAGCAACTATGGCCTCAACTCAACCAGGCACCATAAAAGCAAGTCTTATGCTGTAATTATAGTCTATAGTAAGAAATAGAAATAGATCTGGTTTGAGTGACGCTCACATGCATACTCATAGGCAGACCAGCGTGTCTGTCTGCAATGTTGTCGGAGGGTTTGAGCAGAGCAGCATAATAATGGCTCTGGTGGTGGTCACTGGAATAAGGCTGACGATGCACACACACACTCATTTCATGTGTTTAACTCTTAATGGTAAACTCATAGCATCACCTCTAGGGCTGATGAGTGGAGGCTGGTTGTGTGACTCATTCCCTGTAATATTGTGGAATGCCATCGCTCCACAGTCTCCACGATGCTGACTGGCATAATCCTACTTTTGATCCGGAGCCAAAACTTAAGAAAAAGACACACTGGGAAAACACACACACACTCGTGTTCATCTACAAAGCCCAACCCTTGTTCCGCAGGTGATGAAGACATACCACATGTACAACACTGACAGCATCAATGCCGAGTCCAAGCTGAAGGAGGCAGAGAAGCAGGAGGAGAAGCAGATGGGACGCTCGGGTCGACAGGATGACCGTCAGACACCGCGCTCCCCCGACACTCTGGCCAGCATCAAGACAGACGAGAAACCTGTCCGACGGTCCAGTGTCAAAAAAATCGAGAAGATGAAGGAGAAGGTGAGCTGGTCGGGGAGGGGAAATCAAGGGCAACGAGTGGAGGGAAGGAGGCTGTTTCAGCGTGCCCCACCTGTTGTCACACAGACTTATGTGTGTGTCTCATGAATGATTTATGAGTGCACGACTGGCTTATTGCTAACCTTGTCTGCTACAGCTGGAGCCTGTCACTGCAACATGGTTCCCCACTTGTTATTATCCCTAATCAATACTGAGGCGTTTCACTCTAACACCTATTATCTCTCTCCTTTCCCTCCCTCTCTGTCATCACTTTCCTTCTTGCCTGGTTTCTTTACTGCTCTCCTTTTCCTATCAGAGACAAGCTAAATACACAGAGAACAAGCTGAAGGCCATCAAGGCCAGGAACGAGTACCTGCTGGCTCTTGAGGCAACCAACGGCTGTGTCTTCAAATATTACATCCACGATCTCTCTGACATCATTGATGTGAGTACAAACCAACGATATTAGTCTGTGAGAGCAGCTAACATTTGTTGGCATTATTATGGGCTCTGTGTGTGTGTATCTCAGTGTTGCTATGTTTGAGCCAGTGGTGGCCCCTCAGTCAGTCTCTTCACATTAGCTTCAGTGCTCTTAATGAAGGCAGAGACCTTTTGCTTTCCTAAGACTCCACACATGGTGTGTCTAGGTCCCCCCACAGACAGCCGATGGCAAAAACATCTAGATAGAATGGGAGCAGTTCATTCTGTGCTTGATAGTGACACTTCACTGCCTGCTGGACTGATGAACCTGCCACCAGCAAGTGTTGCTTCCACATCAAACTGACAGACACTGATTGAACAAACAACACTGAGCTAGGTGGTGTGCACTGTATTGATTCTTTCTTTGTTTTTAACACGAGTTTGTTTTTTTTTTGGTTTGTTTTTTTTTAAAGTGAAAAATACTTTTTAAAACAGTTTTGCTTTAGAATCTGGCATTTACAAGGGAGACACAATACTAAATTGTATGAGTTGTGAGGGAATTAAGGAAGCACAAATCATCCATCCATTATCTATACACCGCTTAATCCTCACTAGGGTCGTGGGGGGCTGGAGTCTATCCCAGCTGACTTAGGATGAAGGCAGGGGACACCCTGGACACGTCACCAGTCTATCACAGGGCTACACTTAGAGACAGACAACCAAGCACACTCACATTCACACCTACTGACAATTTAGAATCGCAAGTTAACCACAACATGTTTTTGGACTATGATAGAAAGCCAGAGAACTCGGAGACCCACGCTGCATGGGGTGAACATGCACACTCCACGCAGAAAGATCCCAGGCACCCTAAGCGGGACGCAAACCGGGGATCTTCTAGCTGCGAGGCCCCAGCAGTAATCATGTGATGATTAAATATTACTCAATGAATAATTGAACAGAAACACACGTTTACGAAGTGCCCTCTGTGCATCTACATAATCTAACCTTTGTGCAGAGATGACCTCAAGGTTATGTCATGATATACTAGTATTGACAGTAATTGTGATATTTTAAAATGAAACAGTGGTGTCATGTTAATAACACACATATGATAATAAATAATCCAGCAGCGTTAACTATCTGACTGACTCTCCAAAATAGGAACAACATACAGGAGAGTTATATAAACTGTACTGCATTGAGTGTGTTTCATTGTGCATTTAAAAAGAGACAAAACACAAAAACACACAATAAATCAATTTAAGAATGAATGTGTATAGATATTGTTATAACATCACTACTGTGAATTGTTTTTAAACCCAGTGGTCAGACTGTCACTGATCAAAAACCATTGTGATTGTATGAGGGATCTTGATATTTTGAGTTTGGGGGAGCAGCACTCTCAGCACTCTGAACAGAACTAACCTAGATTTTGTCTTTGTTCATTTATCTTTCATGTACAATATCTTCAGCATTACAAAATACATACCTTTTTAAGTTTTAGAAATGATCCAATCGTAATGACATTTACCAACTGACATTGAAACAATGAATAAACATGAGAAATGCAATATAGTACTGAAGTTATATCAGGCATTCAAAGAGAGATGTAACTTTCAACATCTGAAACACTATGTGGTAATTAACTTGCAGTCCTGCACTTGTCAAGTTTATCAATTAGATGGTATTTGCCACATACTATGTTAATTCAGAATCATGGTTTATTTCCAGCTCAGGACTTTGTTGCATGTCATTTCTCTCCCCATGTTTCTTGTCACTCTCTGCTGTGAAAGGCATAAGTACAGAGCAGCACAAGGGGACAAACCTATAAAGTTGTGACAATCTTTGCAATGCTTCAATTTTGTACCAAGTGTTAAGTGTTATGCGCCCGCATGTTTGACAGTGCTGCGACCTGGGCTACCATGCCAGCCTGCACCGCGCCCTGAGGACCTACTTGTCTGCAGAGCAGAACGTAGAGACGTCCAAACACACCGGCCTGGAGACGCTGGAGGGAGCTGCCGAGAGTCTGGAGCCCAACGGGGACAAACAGAAACTGATGGAGACCTACAACAACGTTTTCTGCCCACCAGCTCGCTTCGACTTCCAGTCCCACATGGGAGACACGGTACAGTTGTGGTGTTTGTGTCAGAGTGAGCGCATTTCTAAACATCAGCGGTATAATATGTTAAAGTTGTTGATGCGTGCATGTGTTTTTGTAGATGGGAGTGATGTGTGCACAGCAGCCAGTGGAAGGCGAGCTTCTCCAGAGGTGTCAGCAGCTGCAGTCCCGCCTCTCTACACTTAAGATTGAGAATGAAGAGGTCGGTCATTTGTCTGCTTCCTCTAATATCATTTCATTCATCTGTTTAATCTTTCATCATTTACTTGTGTGTTAATCCCAACTTCTGTGCATCAGGTGAAGAAGACCATGGAGGCCACCCTGTCCACCATTCAAGACATGGTGACGGTGGAGGACTATGACGTCTCTGAGTGCTTCCACCACAGCAACAGCATGGAGTCAGTCAAGTCTACTTTCAGCGAATCCTATCTCAGCAAACCCAGCCTGGCTAAACGGCGGGCCAATCAGCAGGAGACGGAGCAGTTTTACTTCACAGTCAGTTCCCGTTGTTGTCATAGATGGTTTGGTGTGATCAAGTCTGTAACTTACAAGGCTGCATATATGAACATAATCTGCACAAATATGACTGAGGCATTTTTGTCTTTGCATGTACTGTAGAAGCTGAAGGAGTTTCTGGAAGGCAGGAACCTGATCACCAAGCTGGAGGCTAAGCATGACCTCATCGAGAAGACCCTCGGAGAGAGTGAGTGGGAATGGCAGTGTCCTTCATAGCTTTTAGACATTGTCCTTGTTTCCCATCTGTGTGAGTGTGTTTACTGGGAGCCCCCCCAGTAGGATAGAGATGGGTTCAGGAAAGGTCTGTTGCCTGGAGGCTAAACAGGGAGTCCATCAGAGAGGCGAGCAGGGCAGTGGGACACATCAGGGCCCGTGGAGAGAGGCAGAATGACTTTAATATATCTAATAATCACGAGCTGTGTGTGTCTGTGAGTGGAAGGGGAGGTCACAGTGACAGTGACCATATGTGGATGCAGCTGTGTACTGTAGTGTAAGCAGGGGGTGTTCCTCTGGGCCGAATGTGTCGGTGTTTCCACAACCTTGCAGGAAAACCGCTCCTAAACTGTGTGTGTGTGTGTGTGTGTACAGCTTAAGTGGGAAGTTTGCTTCCCGTTTTCTGTTCCATCTGAAGCCGTTTCCTCATATGTCCTGCTATAACTGCCTATCTGTGTCTCTTTTCTGTCATAACCCCCTTCCCTCTCACTCCCCTCCCCCTCTTCCTGTTTCTCCCTCCTTTAGGTCAGAAGACCGACTGTTGCCTTGCCAGGTAGGTGTGGTGAAGGAAATATGCTCAAACACACATATGCACACACACACACACACACACGCACACACTTGCATATACCATAGCAGCTTTAAAGCTTGATTCTTTGGCAGCCAGGGGTATTATTTTCCTTGTCACTGTTTATAGATATTCTCAACACATGTGCATGTGTCTGTGTATACAAATAGAGCGTTTCCAGAGTTGTGAGTATAAATAGACTTTCTCTGGAGACATAATGACAGAGTGCCGATCTTTCTCTCCCCTTTCTCTCGCTGCGTAGTGGACGGAGAAACTCGGCAGTACGGAAGCAGGTAATTATCTGTGTGTTTGTTTCTGAGTGACTGCTCGCTTCAAAGTCAGAGCCATTGCAGATTTGTTTTTAACTCAAGCCACATGTTTTCTCACAATATCCTCCGCCCACAGGATGTATTGGCACATAGATGCTGACAGCAATTTGGTTGTTATCACATAAGCTATTATCACCCAATATCTAAATATAAGCCTCTATTTCTACAGTTGTATCAATAGTTTGTGATGAAAAGGCAACTGCTCCGCTGGGGACTCTCGTGTTTGTAGCTCCCCCTTGTGGGGTGACTTGTGTTTTGGCCATAATATAATATTTTACAGAGAAATCCCTTGTTAAAAGGGATCCCTTGTAAATTATAGTTTCAACATATGAAACCGCAATTGTATCGACATAACAGTGGGTACATACATGATCCAATATATATTTCATGACCTCACCTCCTGCATTTTTCTGGAAACCCCAAATAAACAAAGGGAAAAGGAAAAGGTGCTGTCTCCTAGCAACAGCTGGGTACTGCGCCCACCGTCTCTCCCCCACGCCTGATACCCATTCCTCCTAAATGTGTGCACTGATGCATTAACATGTGCAGACATGTGTGAGGAAAGAAGTGTGCTGGGTTTTTTTTTGTTTTTGTTTTTTCTCCACATTCAGTCATGTGTTCCTGGAGTAATTCTTCTCCCCCTTATTTTAGGAGTCGGGTGAAGCCATTCCTCTGATGGTCGAGAGCTGCATCCGCTTCATCAGTCGCCATGGTGAGGAAATTCTCCAGTGAAGTGATAGGTTTAGCATCTGCTTTTTCAGTGTGCTCATTGGTTGCATTCTTATGTCAAGTGTGATTGGTTCTGAATCAGTTTTGAGGTGGGGGTTTTCCCCAGAACTTCTTACTTCCATATTTGCAGAATTACAAACTCCTGGAAAACAAACAAAACAGTCAGCATGTGTTTATATGTGTGTAGGTCTGCAGCATGAAGGCATCTTCAGAGTGTCGGGCTCTCAGGTTGAAGTCAATGACATCAAGAACGCTTTTGAAAGAGGTAAGACTATAATCCAGCAGGAAGCATAAGTATTGTGTATTTATGTAGGGCTTTAATATCTTTTCTCCCCCGTTCTCTTCTCTTCCGGATGTAGGAGAGGACCCACTGGCTGGGGACCAGAATGACCATGACATGGACTCTATTGCTGGTGTACTGAAGCTCTACTTTAGAGGGCTGGACCACGCCCTCTTCCCTAAAGAAGTCTTCCATGACCTCATATCCTGTGTCTGTATGTGTCCCTTCCGTTTCTGTGTTTGTGTGTTTAAGAGCTCAATTGTGTGACTAATCTCCTGGGTGTCGTGACTTTGTTATTTTCCAGCAATGGAGAGCCTCCAGGAGCGGGCAATCCACATTAAGAAAGTTCTGCAGTCGCTGCCAAGTAAAACCCTCATCATCATGAGATACTTGTTTGCCTTCCTCAACCAGTGAGTAGCAGGAGGTCAAGCGGATTGTTGAACTGCGAGTGCATCAGTATCGAGTGTGTGTTCATGTCGAGGGACAGTGCTTGTGGATAGATGATGGGCGAGCTCACAAACAGAGCCAGATGGATGGACAGTAAAATGGTAGCAGCTAAATATCAAAAGCTATGTTCTAAGAAATAATCACAGAATTAAATGCATTCTAATATAATAGTCTGTGAGCGACAAGCTATGAAGATTATTAAACACTGAAGAGTCCGTTTTCATTTAAAGTTCATTAAATCACACAGACAAGTGTGCAAACAATGCATTTCACTCAAGTTTGCTTTACAATGATCTTCCCCAAAGAACACAAAATCGTCTCAGCTGAGCTCCCAGCCTGCATCAGTCTCTACTGGCAGCGTGTCGCAGAGTGCAGGCTGAAAAAGACTGAAGTGAATCACTGTTATTACTGCTGAGAACAAATTGTGTAATTAAAGATGACAGCCTCACTCCTGGACCATTTCAGTGAATGTTAATATTGGTCACAGTAGGATGCCACACTCATATTCAATCATTTTTAGTATCAATCAGTGTACAAAAAGGTTTTTCAGTATATCCAAGTTCACAGATGAGAAAAACTGTCAAATGGCATGGTATCATTTACTGTCAAATGTGTTTCAGCAAAACCAAATCATATTACCTTTAAAGACAGTTCATGAATTGATTCAGTTAAACATCCTGAAACTGCATTTGTCCAAGAAGAAAGGACAATTGTGCATAATAATTTGACATGAATTCAAACTTTCCTAGCATTTTATGAAAGCAGTCAGGCCTAAAATGTTGACTCACAGCAGCTAAAGAAGCTCCGTCTTCCCTTCCACTTACCCCATACACACTCATGTCTTCCATAAACATCAGCTTTCACTCGGCCTTCTCACACCAAATTCTAAACATCCTTTAACCTTTGTGGGGAGTCAAGTATGGGCCGTAATGAAAGGTCAAAGTGCACAAAATATAACTAGCCCTTCAGTATTCAAGGAGCTGAAAGTGTTCCTTCTTGAGAAATAGTTTAATTTCCTCTCTTCAAATCAAGTTTGTTTTTACAGTTGATATTGCACACAGCATCTCAGAGGGCTCCATATTGTCACATAAACTCAAGTTCTCTAAAGACATGGGCAAATTCCACAAGAAAAGTCATATCAAAGTGTACTAGTGTCAAAGCCATGCAAAGAAATGGGCAAAACATACATTTTAGACAAGCTCAAATGCATATGCTGATAAAAAGGGAGACGTGCATTCCATTCTGTCCAATCCCTCCTTAAAATCCATGACTAAACCCTTCAGTAAAGGGAGGTAACAAAAGGGAGTGAAAGACAGAAAGCAATGGGATGTGGGATACCTGACATTTGAGACTCCTGGGTAAACCAAGTGGTCCCAGACAGCTTATGTGGAGACAGGGGGGAGCTTCTTCTTCTTCTGCTTGAGTGATTTACAGTCACCTCGATCCTTCTTCTCACTCACTAAAACACACATAATCAGAGAGTCTCCATCGCCGCAGTCCTGGGTAGTGTTTACTGTTGGACCTCTTGCAATTTCATATATTCATCCATTCCCCATCACTAGGTTGGCTGTAAATAACATGTCACGGTTGTTTGTGTGCACTGTCAGCTTCGTGTATATTACATGTTTGAGACAGACGAATGAGATGATGCTCTTTGAAATGACTCTTGCTTTCTCTGCCGCCCTTCAGCCTGTCTCAGTACAGCGAGGACAACATGATGGACCCCTACAACTTGGCCATCTGTTTCGGCCCCACCCTGATGTCTGTCCCTGAAGGCCACGACCAGGTCTCTTGCCAGGCCCACGTCAACGAGCTCATTAAAACTATCATCATCCACCATGACAACATCTTTCCGGGGCCACAGGACCTGCAGGGCCCCATCTATACCATCCCCGGAGCGGGAGATGACTTCTGGTGAGGGCTGATATGAGAGGAAAGTTTAAGGACTGACAAGACATGTAGGGAAGGAACTTAGATTGTTAAAGCAAGTGGAAGGGCAAGGGGATGTCTTGTTCAAGTCTTATCTAATTACAGTAAAGGGGGCGGTTGATTTAGTGGCTGCTGGGGAGCCGTGGGGGGCTCAGCTTGTCGGCTCCACTCTGGGCCAAGGGGCCACGAGGATCAGCTTACCCTCCATCACACAGAAGATTAAAGTACCGCCTGACCACAGCAGCCCAGGAGAGCACAGCATGCACATACACACACCACACTGCACACAATGGCTAACTTTCAATTTTACTATAATGACAAGCCTTGGCACCAGTTATTATGATGACCGCCAGTCAGTGCCGTTGTTAGACTGTGAGTCACACTGCAGCTTTCACTCTGCGCTGTAGAAAGTGTAGACAAAATATTATCACTCTGGCATAGCTGGAGTTTTTGACCTGTAATCTCAGAAAATGCACATTTTGGAGATTTAATTGAATGACTGCATTATTTTGGACATGTAGATATTAAAATCTTGCTACCTTTAACCCTTTATGGGGCAAGTGACCATATTTGGTA